TTTTTTATGAACGACTGAACAATCTTAATGAAAGTTGCAAAAAAAAATGAATAAAAATAAAGTAATGATTGAAAGCCAGCTGCGCGCTGATGAGGCTCGCTATCAGCGCTATTTTTGTCCTGAGCCCATTTCAACAAGCTGCTGACCAGCATCGATGCCCGCATCTCCTGTCAGGACACCGACTACAGACGCTCGATTTCAGCTGGAGCGTGCCTGTCCATCTGTCTGAGGTTGGTGGACATCACTCAGGAGACTTCGGGGTCTTGGTTCTTCCGTCCCGTTGGAAAATGTGCCACTACGTCACATATGAGTCTCTCTGATTGGTTGATGCTCCGCGTCCAGCTGCAAAAGCTCAGATTTTCCAACTCCAGTGTCTGCTGCTTTGGACGCCAACTCCGCAAGGGCTGCGCGCAACATCCAAATAGTTTGACGTCAAGATTTTGCTCTCCTATTTACATTTCACAAGTTATAAAGTGTAGGGGAGACTGGGGTAAGTTGAGCCAAAGGGTAAGTTTAGCCACCCCTTGTTGCAAGGAAATGGCAAACAAAATTGATCATGTGACCAAATRTTTAGGAGGAGGGTGTCATTTCATGGAGTGTGTGAAGGTAAGAACCACGTGGGTAAAGTGGTTAGACATTTATTTCTGAAAAAAAAAACTTTTTCACTCTTAAAAGCGAATTTAGTCTACCATAAGTTTCATGAAAATTGTRTTTAGACCTAAATAAATAATTTTAAATTTGTTTTATACATCAATTGTGGTAGAGGTTGTAAGAAAATTCATATTCAATAAACTGAAGTTGAAATTAAAAACATCATTGTTAAATAAAATGATTTGTAGAAGGAATCAAACCATACAACACCAGAATTCTGGATCTGAGTGAGGTTTATTGTCACTGAAGCTGACAGGAAACCAACACTACCCAAAAACCAGGAAGTTCATCAATTTATACACCTTCTTCAATGCCTGCGTTYGCCCCCTACTGACCTACGGCTGAATCACAGGCGTTCAGACAAAATCCTCAGCTACTGTCATCACAACGTTTGATTAGGTGTTGTCACATAATTCGGACATGCAACTAATCTATATCAATCAAAACATAATAGATTAAACACTGTCAATATTACAAAAAGGAAAACCTAAAATTATAGTGTTGTGCTTTTAACATCAGTACAAACCTCTAATAACTTTAAATTTCTTCAAGATCTTAAACCTAGCATAAAAGTGCACCATTTTAACCATGGGGACTAATGATGTCAAAATGGTAGCTCTGGGGTAAACTGAGCCATTTGGCCAGGGGTAAATTGAGCTGGTGGCTCAACTTACCCCATACACTKAAGTGTATTTTGGCTGTAGCCTATACGTATGTCTTAAATATTAAATCAGATTCTACATTTGTATGATTACAGAGTGGATATCATGACTCGTGTATATAAATGCAAAACAAGTAGGGGATCCACCACTGATGTTCTTGAAAGAGCCACCAGTGAAGTCTATTCGAGCAGCAGCGAAGGATGCCAAAATAAACAGAATGACACTGAAGAGGTACACTGACGAAAAAGAAAATGTGCCTTTGAAAAATACAGGCTATGATGGAGCAGCAGAGGCTAAAAGGATTCTCTCAGACGGCATGAAGTCTGAATTTGCCAAACATTTTAAGAAACTCGCAGACCAGCTTCATGGGCTGGCTACCCTCAAATGCAGAGAACTTGCCAACGAGTTTGCAAAGCGAAACAACGTCCCTGTGCCAGACAACTGGTCGAGAGAAGAACGAGCAGGTAGCGTAAAAGATATTAAATATAGAGATCTATCTAAATGTGTAGGGTTAACTCCCATAATTACTGCCAACCAGCCAGCTAGCTGAGAAAATTCAAGCAAACTCAAGTGATGATTTTTAATAGAAAAATATTATTGGCATCATTGTTAAGAAAACATTTTTCCAGGAGTGGATTGGCCTGAGTTGTTCAAAAACCAACATCATCCATCATGTCGGACACCAGAGGCCACATCCTTGGCAAGGGCCACTGTTTTCAATGAACACAGTATTTACACAGAATATTGTGTAAAAGCACCGTTATTTAGGGAGGGAGAAGGCAAGGGAGGGGTGGGGTGGGTGGAAGCAGGGATACGGCTCATCTTACCCCACTCCTATGCTCCACTTACCCCATTCAGGGGGTAAGTTGTGCCACAAGAACACTTTTTTTAGACATGCTAAATTATTGAAACAGTTATGTTTACACTCATTCTGTTTGTTTGAATGGATGCACAACATCCTGAAATATATGCAGATATATTAGTTGGCAGCAAAACTATGATTGCCTTGATGTAGTGACCCTAAATATGAAAAATGRCTCMTCTCATCCCCTACTGCTGCTGCGTGTCCTTTTGGAGAATAGACCTAACTTAACGTAAGCGTTGCGTACGGTGAGGGTGTGCGCGATAGACGTTCAGACACACCGTGAGACTCCTCAGCAGCAGCATACATGTGATACATCTGACTGTTGGAGGCTGAGTTCAGCCAGGTGCTTTTATCCGCTTAAAACTGCTGAGGTAGCTGCCTGCTGAGAGGTATAAATTTCTAATCTGGTAACATCTTTAACCATTTGTTAGTTGATTTTTCTTGATTTCTCGAGGGGATACATTATTTAACATCACTTTTTGAGGTTCAAGTGAACTCTGAGATTTGTTTTATTTCCAGTTTGATTTAAGGAAAGGGTAAAGTTGTTGTGCTCTACTCTCTCCAGCAGAGGGTGCTATAAGCCATGTCCCAGCCAGCTCAAACAGTTGTCCCAGGCTTCCTCCTACTCATCATCATTAATTAGTGTTTTTCTTTATTTCAAATAAATAAAATAAAAACAAAGGCTAATGAAAATAAACAATAAAATTTCAATTACAGTTAGTCTCCATTTATTTATGGACTACAGCGTTACGTCTTGTATCCTCTGTAACGTCCACCAGAATTATACGAACAAGAACACACATTTTTCTGTGTTTTGTTGTCATTGTTTAAAGTTGTTGTTTTTCGTGCCTTTGATGAACAAATCGATTGCGCGTGAAGTGGTGGACATGCCTCAAAGGTTTGTCTTATTATTAAAATTATTTGTTCTTAAACATATTTCTGTATATTTAGCAAAAAATAATCTATTTTTAACCTAGTGCACTCTAATGTTGGTTTCTGTGCACTAATCATAGCCTATAAGCCACGAGAAAAATGCTAAAAACAAAACCTTAAAAAATAATTATGTGATCTATTTTAAAATAATTGGAATTTACTGAACCTTTTATTTGGGTTCTGAAATGATAGACCTGATCCTAGAATCTTTTTTTTTTTTTTTGGATGATTTTAGTAACATTGTTTTTGTGTTACTGTTCCTCTTTGTTAGTGTGTGTTTTTTTTTTCATGTTTATTTTCTATAATTTGTTTCTGTATTTGTTTTGCTACCTTGCTTTATTCCCAGACAGTCTCAGTATTTTTGCTCAGGCAGCTTCTGTTCCTTTGTCCTGCCCCGCCCACCTTCACCTGTTCCCCATTCCCATTAAGCACCTGTTACAAATCTCCTCATCTTCCCCCAGTCCATTATTCTGGTTCTTGTTTGTCTCCCCCTSATATTTTGTTAGTTTTTATTGTTTGCCTCCTGCTTTTTGTTTGGTCTTTCAAGAAACGTTTTAGATTTGTTCCTCAAAACCTAACCTGAACAAAATTCAGAACTCCTAAAAACCTGGTTTTTACTGTTGTTTTATCATTGGTCTAAAGATGTTATTCCCATAATACAGTTTTTTTTCCATACTAACAACCTGCGTAACCAGAAATATATTGACAGGTGGATCTTACTAAGACTTAGTGGGTCATAATATTTAACATGGCTAAATTGAAAACAAACTGGTTTTTTTTCTCAAGTTGTCCTTATCAGATTTAAGGTGGAGCTAGTTAAATAACTTTTTAAAAACACATGGCTGCCTGGTAGTAAATAAAGTTTGCATTTCTTTAACTAACTGCAGACTSTATTCTTTATTTTAAAAGCTAATTCTTTAAAAACTTTATATAGCTTGCTCCACTTTAAATGGTCTGATGATGGGACAAACTTTTAACTTGATAACTCACAAACCAGACAGCCGCATGAAATAATCACTAGTTTGACATTTCTTTAACACGCGTCAGCTGATAGTTTGTATTTCACTGACAGAGGTGTATCCGAACTAAATACATACAGTACTTGTGTAATTTTTGAGGATTAGTAATTTTACCAAGTATTTTGTATTTAATGACAACTTTTTCTTTTATTTTGTTC